GAATCATTGAATTAATTTTTAAAGCATCCTGTTCGGATTTTATTATGTGCAATAGTAATTTAGAAAAACACATTTTAATAATGTCAGGTTCCTTATTTAAATATAATGCCTGTGTTTTTATTTTTCCTCCTTTATGTCCCTTTTGTTCACCTAGAACTTACACTATCCTTGCTGAATTTATTTCCTGGCATTTTACTTTTTTTTTCTTAAATGTGATTATGAACAAGGTCTTTTCTTCAGGGACATATTTTAACTGATTACTCTGTATCTGTATCTATATACAGGCAATTGAGCTTTTAATAGACTTTATTTTTTGGAGCAGTTTCGGGTTCAGAGCAAAACTGAGCAGAAGGTACACAAAGTTCCCATACACCTCCTGTCCGCACACACGCACAGCCTCCCTATTATCAGTGTCCCCTACCAGATGGTTCATTTGTTACAATTAATAAACCTATATGGACATGTCATTGTCACAAAGCCCATTACGGTTCATTCTTGGTGCTGTACATTCTATGAGTTTGGATAAGTGCTCAATGACATGTATCCGCCCTAGAGTATCCCACAGAGTGGTTTCACTTGATTTTTAAATATTAACATTTTCTCATTTCCTTAAAGCTTCTAGTAGATTCTCTTAGCTTTTCCAAGAAGTATCTAAAAAAAGTGGAATTTGGTCTCTGCATTTCTAAAACCCCTCTTATTTATGTGTCCTAACTGCATGGTTAATTCCCCCAGAGCAGCATTGAATAGTAGTGGTGGTAGGAAATCCTTGTCTTGGTCCAGAAGTTAATGGGAATGCATTTAGTATGCCACTCGTGAATCTAATGTTAGCTTTTGGTGTCATATATTTATCAAGAGAACCACAGGCCAAAATGGAGGGACTTCTGCTAGGCCAAGTCACCTAAGAGGAGCTTTATATCCGACCTGGGCAGGCCCAGGGTCACAGAACCTGGGAAGGGAGAAGGAAAAGACCTTTCCCTTCCCAACACAAGGCTGAATAAAAGGGAGAGGAGCACACGGCTGCCTCTAGGCAGAGGCAGGTTTTCAGGGGGAGGTGGGGTGAACGTGAAGTGGCACAGAGAGAGCAGCTTCCCCTGGGCATCTGGGCTCAGGAGAGCCTCAGGTCTTGGGTTTTGATTCAAGCCCCCCCACCTGGCCATCCCAGGTCCCTATCCCTGCTTTGCTGTGTGATCTGGACAGGGCCCTATGCCTCTGGAGCCAGGGGTGGGGGCGCAGAGACCCACGAGGAAGCCCCCTGGGGCCCCAGAGCCCGGATGTGCCTCAGAGCCCCTGTGGGCCAATGCTTATTGAGACTGTGCCCTAGGCCACACATTTTACCTGTATTGTCTCATGTCATTTAAATTAATTTATTGTAATTAAATGCTCAGATTAGAGCCTTCCCAGTGTTGAATGCTTTACGTAGCATCTCATTTACCCCCATTTTACAGATGAGGAGATAGAGGCAGAAGGCAGGACAATAACTCACCCGGGGTTCCTGGGGGCGGGGGTGGTGTGGCAGGGCCCCCTTCCTTAACCGCGATGCTGGTATTTCAGCCTTCTGTAAATTTGGTGAGACCCGCAGTCATTGTATGACTTCGTTATCCTGTTACCAGTCAGCCATGCCGGTGAAAACAAACTGGGGGTGCAAGGCAGAGACTTCCAGTGAGCGAAGAGCTACTGGGACTGAACTCCACTTTACATATGACAGAACCGAACCTGAGTGGTCCGCCTGAGGCCCAAGAGCAGGCAAGTGGTGGGGGCCAGATTCAGACGGGGTAGCCTGACGCTGCTCCACGCGGTGACCTGGCCCCCTTCTGGAATATAAGAACTGGGGGTTTCCTTTCTTCTTGTTCAGTGTCCCAGCCATTCGTAAATCATCCACGTGGGGGCGCTGGATAAAAAGGCTGTGACAGAAGCTTTGCAGTGAGATCTCTGCCCCATCTGGCCTAACGTCTCCCCTCCTGCTGCCAGCGCACCTGCACCTCCCCACACCCCCAGGGGCCGGGCAGACCCCCCACGTGTCATCTTTGACTCACTCTCTCCTACTCAGTGTGGAAGGCCAGGCCCGTGCTGATTGGGGCACACATCTGGCCCAGATCAGGACCTGGGCAGTCGTTGCCCCCACCTCGCTGGCCTCGCCTGCCCAGCTGTGTCCTTGGCCGCACCGCCTCACCTCCTCCTTTCCTCTTCATCTTTGCTCTACGGCCAGGGGCACGGACAGGTCAGGGGGGGCTGTGACGTCACGGGGCTGCTCCCCGGCTCATGGGAGATGCGCGGCCTTCCCTCCTCCTTGCTGCTGGGCCATTCTCCCTCTCTGTAGCCACTGTTTCTGGCCTGAGCCCTCCCACCCAGGCAGGCCCACGGAGGCCTCCGTGCAGTGTGCTGAGTGCACACAAGGTCCCCTTGTAGGTAGAGGGTGTGTCCAGACAGGAAGGGCCTTTGGGGGGCAGGAGCTTGGGGAGGCTGTCGCTGGTCCTCCGCCCCTGGCATTCCCAGCAGTAGTGAGCTGTAGGGCTTGGCTTTCTGCTACCTGGCTGCAAGAGACTGACCAAGAACCCAGAGTGGCCAGGTACTAATGTCCACAGATGAACACACCTGTGGGATGACCCGCCCAGGTGAGCTGCTGAGGGCTGGGGGAGCATTAGGCCACCAGCCCGACGCCGTTCTGTGTGAGGCACTTCAGTGTCTGCCAGCAAGCCGTTCCCACACTACCAGGTGGGGGCGCCTCCCCTGGGGTGGCCTGGAGGCCTTGGGTCATTTAGTGCCGCCTGGACGTGGCATTAACTCACGTGACGCCCATGGAAAGCTCCTGCCTTCTGCCTAGGGTGAGGAGCGACCCCAGCCCGGTGCTGGGCCGCCTGGCCGCCGCTGGCATAACTGGCTCCACACCCATCTCATCCATCAGGGAGAAGGCCTCTGCTCAGAACTCTGGCTGGCAGCATGTCCAGGAGAATTTGATCACATTGTTTCCACTGTGCTTATCTTTATGGTTACTTCCTGTTTCTGGTAAGTGATACTTGTTCTCTATTTGTTACGATGCAAGGTTTCTTTTTCAAGGAAAAAAGGGATCAATTTAAGGACACAACTGAAGAGCCAGGGGCTCACATCGACCAACCCCTGGAAATGCCCTGGAGTGAAAGGAGTTTGGGACGTGGAGAACACACTCCTCTGATCCTCCCAACTACCCTGCAGGTGCCCGTAGCTGGGGTATTGTCCACCTTTCACAGAGGAGGACACTGAGGCCCTGAGAGGGAAGGTCACCATGACAGAGAAAGCTCCCTGACTATGTGGGAACCTGCCACCAGACCCCCAGGGGCACACTTGGCATCCCAGAGCCTGGGCACCTTCCCCTGGGGCCAGGAGTCACACCTTGGCTAGCAGCCTGGGCCTCGGGGACTGGGCTGTGTGGGAATTTATATATAAAGTATAAAAATCATATGTATAATCATATGTGCCTTGATGGTTTGTTTATGGTTCATGATTCGTAGTCAAGACAGAAACAGTAGCCAAGACAGAAAGAGTTTCTGTGTTTGTTCACCATGAGGATTTGTTCGTTATCCTTCAGAAGGTGAAACTGTTGAGGGTTGGACTTGATTAATGATTGTGCATGGAAACCCCAATATTGTTGTTAACAACCATTTCATCAATAAATATGAGAGATGCCTTCTCAGCACCACTCTTGCGCTGTCACGCCTTGAGTCCCCTGGCTGGTCCTTAAGATCTTCGACAACCAATCATGTCTCTTTCCTCATCTGTGGGTCAGAGACAGGGAAGGGACCTGACAGGGCTGGCAAAGCCCTTGAGGGTCAGGGGCTTGGGCAGCAGTTCTGCTTCAAAAGCACTCGCTACTGGCTCCCTAACACAGCCCGGGCAAGTACCCCCATGGAGGAGGGGGCACAGGCCACGGGGGGGACATCACATAGGTCTCTCCTCACTGCGAGTGGGGAACAGACTCCAGCCACTGCCCGAGGTCACAGCCAGGGCCGGGAGGGGCTGGGCCTCTGCAGTGGAACCTGTGTCTGTTCTTTGCCCAGCTCTCAGCTGTTGGAGGATCTGCATCCTGGAGGCTGGCTCCTCGGGCACCTACCCAGCTCTCCCTCTGGACTCATTGCTTGTACCAATGTTGTTCTGTGTCGGGGCCACAGCCAGAAGTATGGAAAGGGCCCCACGCGGCAAGTCCATCAACTGGCCCTGTGTGGCTCCTGTCCTTCCTGGGCCTCACTTCTGGCCTCTGGGCAATGGGGCTGCTCACCCTGCCCACATCCCCCCGGCAGGGCTGCTGTGTGGGTCCAAGCCGGTGGGAGACAAGCCAAGACTGCAGCCCCGCCCCCCACTTCCCTCCTTTTCCTGACACTGGTGTCTCGTGTCTCTGCCTCCCCGCACGGCGCCTGAGGCACATGCTGTCATGGAGTCGAGCTCTTTTGACCTGCAAGACCGTGCGTGGTCAGTTGTTGAAGGTCATGGAATTAGAGGCCGTAAGCAATGAATGGCACATGTGTGCCTTCCCAGTTGGCTTTAACTTGGGTAAGCATACATTCCCTGAGAAGCTGCTGATGGGGACCCCAGACCTTCCTGGAGATGGTCATGATTTCCTCCCAATATTTAGCAATCCTCCCTCTCGGCTCATCTGCAGAAATTTTTTTTAAATTAAGGTATCATTGAGATACAATCTCATGAAGGCTTCACATGAGCAACACTGTGGTTTCAACATTCACCCATATTATCAAGTGCCCCCCGCCAAACCCACTACAGTCACTGTCCATCAGTGTAGTAAGATGCTGTAGAGTCATTACTTGTCTTCTCTATACATTTGCAGAAATTGTGAAGGCCACTTGCCTATATCAAGTTTTCCCATGGGGCTCAAGTTTATTTTCACAGACACCACCAGGCTTTTCCTGTTTGCCCTCGAGTGTCAACAGCTTACATAACACTTCATTACACTGGGGTTGCAGTGATGACATAATAGGCACAAACCGGTTTGGGGACAAGCACCTTGGATCTCACCGGCAGGGGGTGGCCTTGAGAGGAGGCAGGTAAGCACTCAAGGGCCCCTGTGGTCGTGGAGGGGTGGGATGCCAGTGAAGGCAGAGATGCACAGATTCTGCCTGCTTTGTTTCAGCTGCAGGAACCCCGGGAGCGTCCTCGTAGCCAGAAGTGTGATGAGCCTTCCCTGCCTCCCTTGGGGCCTGTGCAATGATAGGTACCCTTGATGGTCCCCAATCCTAGTGTCCAGATGACAGCATGCCGCTGGCCCCCTGCCCTGCTCACACCAGGACACACCAGCCCAGAGCTGGGACCCCTCATTCTTGTTGCCCCATCCTTACCCCACACCTGGTCCCCAAAAAACCTCTAGGAAATGATGAGGTACCGCATTACTAAGGCTCATGGCACCCTGTTCTTTCCTTTCAGATGAAGATCCGGACTACAGTGAACTGAGAGAGGCACACCCCTCGGGCCCCAAATTGAAAGGGGTGCCCAAAAGCAGTGAGCAAGACAAAGAACCCAGTTAACAGTGGGCAGAAGATCTGAAGAGACCTTTCTCCAAAGAAGATATGCAAATGGCCAACAAGCCCAGGAAAAGACGCCTCACATCACCAATCATTAGGGATGCACTGAAACCACAATAAGACACCGCTTCAGAGCCACTAGGATGGCTACGATCAGAAAGACTAGTCGTGAGAAGGTCAAGGAGGATGTGGACAAACTGGAACCCTCAAGCGCTGCTGGTGGGAAGGTAAGATGATGCAGCCACCCTGGGAAAGCCTTGGCACATCCTCAGCAGGTAAACACGGAATCATGGTCTGTCCTTCTAGAAATATCCCCAAGAAAAGGGGAACATATGTCCACACAAAAATATACAGAGGTTCAGAGCAGCATTATTCATAATAGCCAAAAAGTAGAAACAACCTACATATCCATAAATGGGTGAATGATAAACAAAGCATGTTCATACACTGGGATGTCGTTCAGCCAGGTCTTGCTTTCTGACACCACTGTCCGACCAGAGGCACCCAGGCTCCTGGGAGGAATGGCTGAGGCTAGGACTAGGGCAGGAATTATACAAGATGAGCCTGGTACACCTTATTGTGCCAGGAACTCAGGAAGTGCTTAAACACACCCACTGTGTTAAAGGCACACTGGCCGTCTGAAAGATCTATCAGTGGCCAAAGATGAACGATTTGAGTGAAAGAAAGGATTACATTATAACCCAATGAAGGAGAATTTCTGAAGAACGTACTCATGAGTCCATACTGATACTAAGAAATGATGGAATAAATAAATAAAAGGGGAGACAATTCCCTGGAGCAGAAGCATTCCAGATAACTTCTGTGGTTACTCCACCGTCTAGGAAGTGGGGCTTAACTCCCCAGTCAAGAGTGGCTGGGCATAGAAACTTCCTTCCAAAGAGGACAGATTATCTGACTGGGTCCTTTCAAGACTCCATAAGGTGCAGACCGTTGTTATATCTGATGTACCTGCTGCACGCTCTAGGATCTTACAGGGCATGAGGGGTATAATTGCCACTCAGTAAAACTGGCAAATGAGTGACAGAAGGAAGGAGCAGAAAGGAGAGGACGGAAGTTGGGAGAAAGAGGGATCCAATTCGAGACTGGGTGCTCCTGGGGGCATCTGCTCAGGGCCCCGTGACTCTGGGCAGGCACCTTGATGCTCTGAGTCAGTGGCACTTTCCTCATCTGTAAGATGGAGATAGGCTTTCCTGCCTCCTAGCGTCAATCTGAGAATAAAATGAGGTCACTGGTGGGTACTGGGTATGAATCTCCATGCACACGGTTGTGCAAGAAACACTGTTTTCTGTTTTCTAAAAGGCAGGTCCAGTCTTTCAGCCCCACTCTGCACACCCGGCAGGGAACACAGCTTCAGCTCTCGAGTCTTGGTCGTCTCAGGTGAACGGGCGCCAGGGGCTGGTCCTCCCAGGTCTCTGCCAGGACGCCCACCTTCACAAGTCAGCACAGGGTGGCTGGAACTGAGCAGCTCCTGCTGCCTCCTCATCCCTGCGGGGCCTGGGAGGCTTTTCGGGAGAGACTGCTTGTGCCCTGGGGTCCCCTATACAATGGGAAAGCCCAGCTCTCCAGCAGTGTGGCCCCCAGAAAGCAGGAGACATTTGAACCATATTGTCCTGTTGTTCAAGAACCCAGCAGAGGTGAGAGTGCAAACCCAGTGTGGCCACTGGCCGAGCCCTGATCCCAGAGTGGGGCAGAGGTGGGGGCATCTCCCAGAGGGGCACCCGGGTCTCACATGCACAAGGCCCCTGCGGGCCGGCAGCAGTGGGGGGGGCAGGCCCTTTGGCTCCAGGGTCCGCAGGCCTCCCTTTGCTTCCCCCCACCTGTCCCAGCGCTGGTTCCACTCTCTAATCAAGGCTGGGGGGCCTTTCTTCCTCCCTGTGTTCTCAGGGAACTGGGGGTCCTCTTCCCACACCAAACAGGATGCTGGCTTTCGGCTCCGCCCAGTGTTTCCCCCGGGGCAGTAGCACAGGGAGAGGGAAGGAGGAAAATACAGGGGAAACAGAGCAGAGCTCAGATCAGTATCTCTGATCCTATCTGTCCCAACAGGCCAAGCGGCTGGCACCAGCCACCTGCACAGGGCAGATGGCTGCAGTGGCTCCTTTTCTCTTTCATTTGCATAAAATTACACAGGCTTGAGGTTCTCAGAGCACCTTGCCATCCTCTCCTTGCCCAAGGTCACAAAGCAAGTCAGGAACGGCACCTTTTCCAGCCCTGGGACCCAGTGGTGACCCCCTCTGGGGTGGCAACCAGCTCACCTCAACTGTGCTGGCCACTTGAACTGTGCTGGCCTCTTGAACTGTGCTGGCCACTTCTCCTGGGGACCCCTCCTGCACCCACCTGGTACCAACCCTACCATCCCAATGGGAGTTGCCAACCCTCCACTTAACACTGCTTCTCTCATCAGGGTCACTGGCTAAGGAGTAAGGACATCGGACATAAACTGGGCCAACTGGAGACAGCCAGCCCCTTGGTGACACTGACTGGGCCAAAGATGGACGCATGACAAAACAGAAACAGACCAATCAGGGTCCTTCCCTGGGAAGCCCTGCTGGATGGCAGGTGGCCCCTCCCTGTGGGAAGTGGCCCATCAGCGGCAGGAGAGATGAAGCTCCCCAGCAGAGAGAGGCAAAGAGGTGGGAAGGGGGACCTGGCTATGGCCCTCCGCAAACCCCCCCAAGGCCCCTCCTTTGATCTGGTGAGTTAAGCTCCTGTGTAGCTGGCTTGTGTCAGGTTTCTGCCCAGGTGGTAGTTGAGGACCTGGACCCTGGGCCGGACAGCCTTGGCTTTGAGTCCCCTCCAGCACTCACTGGCCGAGTCACCTTTGATGTGTGGCTGAAGAGCTCAGCATCTCAGTTTCTCCCCTGTAACCCACACTGGCTTACTGTGGGGATTAAATGACCTGTAACAGCACCTGGTGCACAGGACACCCTCAGCAACACCAGCTCTCCAGCCAGGAGCACTCCGGGTCCTACACCTTCTGGGACCCGCGGTGCCCACAGTCGGCCAGCCTGTCCATCAGAGCAGCCCGGGTGTGGGTCCCTCCTGGCCCTCCTTCCCTCTTGCTGCAGGCTGGACCCTGATTTCCTTAGTGATCGAGGCTGCGCTAGTCCTGCTCAATGAGTCCGTGTGGGTTTCATGTGGGTTATGGCAAGATGGCCCCGCACGTAAGGCTGGCTTCCCATAGCAGGCAGCCGGGGCCCCAGGGGTCACAAGTGCGAGTGATGGACCCCGTGAGCTTGACCTGGAGTTGCCCCTTCCCTCAGGGGCTAACTTTGTTTTGGGGTCCAGCTCACCATGTAGGGCACTTGGAGCGGTGTCATGTGCAGGTGCCCCACTTCTGCTCCCAAGGATAGCTCCCTCCCAGTGGGCTGCTCAGGACCTCACACAAACAGCTGTCAGCCAGGCTCGTGCCACGGGGGGACTGGCCCGCCCAGATCACCCTGAGCCTCAGGGCTGCCCACAGCTTGGGCTCAAACCGGGAGCATGCCGTCTGCCCCCAACACCGGGCCAGTGGCACACAGCCCCACAGTACCCTGCATAGTGTCCTCCCAAAAGATACACCTACCCCGACTGTGACCTTACTAGGAAGTAGGTCTTGCAGATGTAGTTATTTAAAGATCTCAAGACTAGGTCATCCTGGATTTGAGGGTGTGCCCTAAATCCAATGGCTGGTGTCCCTGGAAGAAGAGGGGACACAGATGAGTGAAGAAGATGGCTGTGTGAAAATGGAGGCAGAGGTGGGGTTATGCAGCCACAAACCGAGAAGTGCCAAGGACTGTGGGCAACCCCCAGAAGCTAGGAGAGAGGCCTAGGAAGGTGCCACCCTCGGGGCCTCCAGAGAAGACCAACCTTGATTCCAGACTCCTGGCCTCCTGAATCACGAGAGAACCATGAGAGAAGAGATCTCTGTTCACTGGAGCCCGCCAGTTGGTTGCAGTTTGTGACGGCAGCCCCGGGAACTCGCGCCTGAGCGGTGAGGGCCTGCCGCCTGTTTGGCTCTGTTACTAGAAGCTTCTAAACTGCTCTCTGTGTCTGCCCAGGCAATTCCATGTCTAAACATTTGTTTTTAGGAAATAATTGGAACAGTGCAAAGATGGATGTGCAAGGGCGTTCCCCCACAGTTTTGCCCAAAATGGTGAAACATCAGGAAAGAATTACATATGTATTAGTGGAGCTTGGTCAAATAAGCACTAGTTCTCCATGTGATGGTGCATTCATGTGTTTAACATCAAGAGATTATGCTGTCATAGATGAAAAGAGAATTTCAGAACAATATATCTGTACAAAACGTATTAACCATAAAAGATGGCTACACAGGACTTCATTAAAATTAAGGCTTTCTGTTCATCAAAATACATCATTCCGAGGCTGACTTCAGCTGCCAGGTCCCCCACTAGCTGGCCGTGAGACTTTGGGTGAACTGTTCCAGCCCTCCGCCTCAGCTGCTCACCTGAGGACCCTTTCTGCACGCAGTTTATTCCAGTTAACTATCACTGTGTAACAAGCCACCGTAAAACTCAGTGGCATAAAGCAACAATCGTCTTTTAATTTGCTCACATATGGGAAATCTGAGCAGGCCTTGGGGGATGGCTCATCTCTGCTCCACTGGGTGTTCACTGGGGTAGCTCAGCTGGGAGCTGGAGGACCTGGTTCCAGGATATACGCACATGGCTGGCACGTTGGTGCTGGCTGTCAGTTGTGGCTCTTGGTTGTTGTCCAGGAGCTCAGCTGAGCTGAAGGTCAAAGGCTTTGGTTCCCCTTTGCATGGGCCTCTCCACGGGCTGCTTGGGCTTCCGCACAGCATGGTGGCCAAGTTTCAAGAGCAAGTATCCTAAGACAGGAAGTGGAGGCCACCAATTCCCACCCCCCACAAATGGCAGAGTGTCAATTCTGCCTCATTCTATTGGTCGAGTCACAGAACCCAGATTCAAGGGGAAGGGGACACAGACTCCCATCTCGCTGAGGGCGGAACGTCAAAGAATTTACAGATGTGTTTTAAAACTGCCATAGGGTTGCTATGAGGATTAAGTCAAATCAAGTAATGACAGTTTCAAAGGATCATCCCATAGATGACTTATTAAGAACAAAGGACCTTTACAGGGAGAAGCCTGGCAGACAGGGCTGAGCCAAGCGATCAAAGCTAGTGTCAGAGTAATGGAACAAACCAGCGTTATTGCTGCTCCTTAAAGAAGCCGGGCGTGCCCCTGCCTTTGCACTTGCTGTTCTCCCCCCCAGGAGTACTCTTCCTGTTACCCCCAGGGCTCCCTGGCTGACTTCCCCCAATGGCATCAGCTCAGGAAGGCTGCCTATATAAAATAGCTGCTCCCATTCCCAACTTATCCCTCTGGCCAACTTCACCTTTCCTTTTCCACCTGACCTTAAATGTCTTTTTATTATTATCATTATTATTATTTCTTATTTGTTCTGTTTCCCCCATTGAATGTGAGCTCTTCAAAGGCATTTTGTCTGTCTTGTTCCCTGTATCTCCAACACCTAGAATGGTGCCTGGAGCATAGCAGGCGTTCAGTAAAGATGGGAGAAATGAATGAATGAATCTGGTGGTGGCCGTTGAGCTCCTTTCTGACGTCTACCTTGATTTCACCCACAAGTGAAGGGCCTGGATCTGGGGTTGCTCCCCACTGTTTTCAGCTTGGTGCTTATGTGTGTCCCTGGGGACAAAGCCCTGTTCATCTCTGATTCCACAGCCTAGCCCTCAGCACCCCATAGCTATTCAGGTAATGGTGCTTCTAGGTCTAATTTTCTCCTGTCTGCACATACAGCTTCGTAAAGCAGGTTTATAACTGGCATTTCAGTCAATCCTCCCCAGGGCCTCTGAAGCAGCAGTCTGTGATGGTCCCTGTTTACGAATGTGGCCCAGAGAGGAATGGTGGCCGGCCAAACGTCAGATAATTGCTTGGGGCAGAGCCAAGCCTAGAACTGCAGTCTGATGCTTCTCAGGGAGCAAAGCACATGAGATTTACACCCTATGGGAGCACGTCAGGGGGACCTTAGAATCTACTCCCTCAGAGGTTGCAAATCCAGTGCCTGTTGGGCCCCCAGCTGGAAGCTGATACAGCAAGAGTGTCAGATTTGTAACAAGAAGCCAGAAATCCTAACTTGGCGATTGATTCAAATGCAACTAAAACCTAGAACAGATTCTTCTGTGGGCTGTATGCCCTCCTTTGGCCAGCATTTTCAACCTTTGTTCTAGATTATCAATGAGCCTCCATTTCATAGCCAAAGAAACTGTGGCCCAGAGAGGGCAGTGATTTACCCAATGTCACACAGCAAGAGCCAAGATTTGAAAATCTCTGATCTGGAGAAGGCAGAATTAGGAGGGAGTGATAAAGAATGCCACCACTGTGTCCATCCCTGCCATCCACTGTAAGGTGCCCCAGGCCAACAGGAAGAAGGAAACAGATGCATGTTTCCAGGGGCAGTTGGCCATGGAAGGTGAGTTTCAGAAGCAAATAGACCAGCTTCAGACTGCAGCCCCAACCCTCAACAGCTGTGTGACCTGGGCAAGGCTCGTCCTTCTCTGAGCCTCGGGTTCTCCTCCGTAAGATGGAGACAGATATCCTGGGGAAGGGGGCTCCCAAGCTCAGCTGAGATCCTCCAGGCTGGGACTGTGCTTCACATACTTTGCAGGAGAACTGGTGGTTAGTACACGTGCACACACGCCCATTCCTGTTTCATCAACCTCACTTTCTGCTCACACAGAGACTGTGCCAAGGCCTACCATGTGCCTTCCAAGGAGTCCTCTGCAGAACTGACAAGGTGACCCTGGAGACCTCCCCAGTGACCCTCCCTTTGATGCCACCATTAAGGGCTCTGTCTGTCATGGGTTTGGAAGCTGCTGGGATTTTGTTTTTGTGTGTGTGTATTTCTTTTTCTTTTTTTTGGTATCATTAATGTACAATTAATTGAACAACATTGTGGTTACTAGAATCCCCCTATTATCAAGTCCCCCCACATACCCCATTAGAGTCACTGTCCATCAGCGTACAGAGATGCTACACAGTCACTACTTGTCTTCGCTGTATATACTGCCTTTCCCGTGTCCCCCACAGCTACAATATGTGTGCTAATCGTAATGCCCCGTTTTCCCCCTTCTCCCTCCCTTCCCACCCATGCTCACTTTCCCCTTGGTAACTGTTAGTCCATTCGTGGGTTCCGTGAGTCTGCTGCTGTTTTGTTCCTTCAGTTTTTTCTTTGTTCTTATACTCTACAGATGAGTGAAATCATTTGATACTTGTCTTTCTCTGCCTGGCTTATTTCACTGAGCATAATACCCTCTAGTTCCATCCATGTTGTTGCAAATGGTAGGATTTGTTTTCTTCTTATGGGTGAACAATATTCCATTGTGTATATGTACCACATCTTCTTTATCCATTAATCTACTGATGGACACTTAGGTTGCTTCCATTTCTTGGCTATTGTACATAGTGCTGCGATAAACATAGGGGTGCATCTGTCTTTTTCAAACTGGGCTGCTGCATTCTTAGGGTAAATTTTTAGGAGTGGAATTCCTGGGTCAAATAGTATTTCTATTTTCAGTTTTTTGAGGAACCTCCATACTGTTTTCCACAATGGTTGAACTAATTTACATTCCCACCAGCAGTGTAGGAGGGTTCCCCTTTCTCCACAACCTCGCGAGCATTTGTTGTTGTTTGTCTTTTGGATGGTGGCCATCCTAACTGGTGTGAGGTGATATCTCATTGTGGTTTTAATTTGCATTTCTCTGATGATTAGCGATGTGGAGCATCTTTTCATGTGTCTATTGGCCATCTGAATTTCTTCTTTAGAGAAGGGTCTGTTCAGATCTTCTGCCCATTTTTTAATTGGCTTATTTGCTTTTTGTTTGTTGAGGTATGTGAGTTCTTTATATAATTTGGATGTCAACCCCTTATCAGATCTGTCGTTTATGAATATATTCTCCCATACTGAAGGATGGCTTTTTGTTCTACTGGTGGTGTCCTTTGCTGTACAGAAGCTTTTTAGTTTAATATAGTCCCACTTGTTCATTTTTGCTTTTGTTTCCCTTGCCCGGGAAGATATGCTCATGAAAAAGTTGCTCATGTTTATGTCCAAGAGATTTTTGCCTGTTTTTTCCTAATAGTTTTATTGTTTCATGACTTACCTTCAGGTCTTTGATCCATTTTGGGTTTACTTTTGTGTATGGGGTTAGGCAATAATCCAGTTTCATTCTCTTATATGTAGCTGTCCAGTTTTGCCAACACGTTTGTGTTTGTTTTCAATAAGTTCTCTCTTCAAATTGCAAATACCTGCAGAGAATAATACGAAAGCTCCTAACAAATCATTTCACAGGCCTCCCAGACACCGGGCCAGGGCTGGGGCGGGTGAGTGGTCTCACTGTTCTAGCTTCCCTGCTCTGGGTGCAGGGAGACCCCCGGCCAGAAATTCAGCCAGCAACTCCTACAGAAGTAATGAGGTTGGGGAGGGATTTGGGCAGAAAGGCTTCCTAGGTGGTCACTGCATATTCCCGCCCCAACCTCTGTACCCTCCTTCCCAGGGCCACCCTCTCCTTGGGCCCAGCCCCTTCCGACTTAAGGTGCTCGACTGCACTGCCTCCCAGGCTTTCCCCAAAGTCCCCCAAACCTGCCCTCTGCCATACCAGGAGCCTCCACCCACCCTCCCCAGCTGGTGGGGCTCAGCCCCCGTGTGTGCCTCCTGAGTGCCTTTTAATCCTCTGATTAGCCCCTGGCCTTTAGTCTTGCTCCCCTCTGCCCACATTCCTCACCCCTATAGCCAGAGGGAGCTTTCTAGAACTCCAAACTTAAGTCCCTTCTTCCAGGCTATCAGGCTACTCTCAGAAGTCAAGGCTGTCTCAGCAGTCAAGGCCCACTGACTTCACCAGCCTCATTTCTTAGATGTGATAAAATCTGCCACAAGTGTCTTAATTCCCCACATCTGGGTGGAAAAAATTATTCACTGTTTCCCTGAAAATAAAATAAAACTGAGTGTCCTATATTTTACCTGGCAACCCTACTGTCAGTCCAAATACCCCAAACATTGTAAGGTTTTAGTATAATTTTTTAGAATAAGTATGTTTAAGTGCAGTATGTGGGACATACCTATACTGAAAAACTATTCATTGTTTATCTGAAATTCAGATTTAACTGGGCATCCCTTATTTTTATCTGTTAAATCTGGCAGTGTAGGTCCTACACAGGTCATGGGGACCAGGGGGCTGCCAGGAGTTGGGCAGTTCTAGCCTGGACCCTGAAATCCTGCCCTGCAGTCAGCCTGCAGGCCTCCTTCCAAACTCCTGCCCTGGCCAGGAAGGGGCTGCAGCCCGGAGACTCGCCGGGAGGACCTCTTCTCCGCCCCCCACCGACCCTCCGGACCTGCTTCCTCCTCTACGACATGAAACTAATGATTCCTCTGCCCGGCCTCCCAGCCTCTCCCAAGGATCAAACATCCGAGTGGACTAGGGGGTTCTCAGCT